ACTACCAACAGTTCTACTCACATAAACCAGTAAACCAGGAAGATATGAACAATTCCTAGACCCTTGTACTCTACCAAGACTAAACCAGGAGCAAGCTGAAACCCTGAATAGACCAATAACAAGGGCTGAAGTAGAGGCAGCAATCAATAGCCTACCAACCAAAAAAAGTCCAGGTCCCGACAGGTTCACAGCCGAATTCTACCAGACGTACAAAAAGGAGCTGGTTCCATTCCTTCCAAAACTGTATCAAACAATACAAAAGGAGAGAATCCTCCCTAACTCATTTTGTGAGACCAACATCATCCTGATACCAAAACCAGGCAGAGACTCAACTAAAAACGAAAACTTCAGGCCAATATCCATGATAAACGTCAATGCAAAAATCTTCAGTAAAATACTGGCAAACAGATTGCAACAGCACATTAAGAAGCTTATCCATCACAACCAAGTAGGCTTCATCCCAGGGATGCAAGGCTGGTTCAACATAAGCAAATCCATAAATGTAATCTATCATATAAATGGAACCAAAGACAAAAACCACATGATTATCTCAATAGATGCAGAGAAGGCCTTCGATAAAATTCAACAGCCCTTCATGCTAAAAACTCTCAATAAACCAGGTATTGATGGAACATATCATAAAATGATAAAAGCTATATATGACAAACCTACAACCAATATCATACTGAATGGGCAAAAGCTGGAAAAATTCCCTTTGAAATCAGGCACTAGACAAGGATGCCCTCTCTCACCACTCCTATTCAACATAGTATTGGAAGTTCTAGCCAGAGCAATCAGGCGAGAAAAAGAAATAAAGGGTATTCAATTAGGAAAGGAGGAAGTAAAACTGTCTCTATTTGCAGATGACATGATTGTATATCTAGAAGACCCCATCGTCTAAGCCCAACATCTTCTCAAACTGATAAGCAACTTCAGCAAAGTCTCAGGATACAAAATCAATGGGTGGAAATCACAAGCATTCCTATATACTAATAACAGACTTAAAGAGAGCCAAACTAAGAGTGAACTCCCATTCACAATTACTACAAAGACAATAAAATACCTAGGAATACAACTAACAAAGGCTGTAAGAGAGGACACAAACAGATGGATAAACATTCCATGCTCATGATTAGGAAGAAGCAATATCATGAAAATGGCCATACTGCCCAAAGTAATCTATAGATTCAACACTGTCCCCATCAAGCTACCAATGACCTTCTTCACAGAACTGGAAAAAAACCACTTTAAACTTCATATGAAATCACAAAAGACCTGCATTGCCAGGACAATCCTAAGCAAAAAGAACAAAGCTGGAGTCATCACACTGCTGGACTTCAAACCATACTACAAAGCTACAGTAATCAAAACAGCATGGCACTGGTACCAAAACAGAGACATAGACCAATGGAACAGAACAGAGACCCCAGAAGAAACACCACACATCTACAGCCAACTGATCTTTGACAAACCTGGCAAAAACAAACAATGGGGAAAGGATTCCCTGTTTAATAAATGGTGTTGGGAAAACTGGCTAGCCATGTGCAGAAAGCAGAAACTGGACCCCTACCTGTCACCTTACACTAAAATTAACTCCAATGGATCAAAGATTTAAACATAAAACCTAACACCATAAAAACACTAGAAGAAAACGTAGGCAAAACCATCCAGGACATAGGCATAGGCAAGGACTTCATGACTAAAACACCAAAAGCAATGGCAATAAAAGCTAGGATAGACAAATGGGATCTAATTAAACTCCAGAGCTTCTGTACAGCAAATGAAACCATCATTAGAAGTGAATCAGCAACCAACAGAATGGGAAAAAAAATTTTGCAATCTACCAACTTAACAAAGGGCTAATATCCAGAATCTACAAAGAACTAAAACAGATATACAAGAGAAAAACAACCCCATTCAAAAGTGGGCAAAGGATATGAACAGACACTTTTCAAAAGAGGACATATATGAGGCCAACAAACATAGGAAAAAATGTTCATTATCACTGGTCATTAGAGAAATGCAAATCAAAACCACACTGAAATATCATCTCACGCCAGTTAGAACGGCGATCATTAAAAAATCTGGAGACAACAGATGCTGGAGAGGATGTGGAGAAACAGTTGGTGGGAGTGTAAATTAGTTCAACCATTGTGGAAGACAGTGTGGCCATTTCTCAAGGATCTAGAAATAGAAATTCCATTTGACCCAGTAATCCCACTACTGGGTATATACCCAAAGAACTATAAATTGTTCTACTATAAAGACACATGCACATGTATGTTCATTGCAGCCCTGTGTACAATAGCAAAGACCTGGAACCAAATATCCATCAATGTTAGACTGAACAAAGAAAATTGGTACATATACACCATGGAATACTACGCAGCCATAAAAAATGGTAAGTTTGTGTCCTTTGTAGGGACTTGGATGAATCTGGAAACCATCATTCTCAGCAAACTGACACAAGAACAGAAAGCCAAACACTGTATATTCTCACTCATAGGTGGGTGTTGAACAACGAGAACATTTGGACTCAGGGAGAGGAGCATCACACATTGGGGAAAGTGGGGGGGGTAGGGGAGAGACAGCAGGGGGGGGGGAGAGTGGGGAGGGATAACATGGGGAGAAATGCCAGATAATATGCACCTAAAGTAAAATAAATAAATTTAAAAATAATAATATAAATAAATAAAAGAAATATGACTCAGACTTTTCTAGAACTGAGGAAAGTCGCAAACCACTAGAATTGGATAGTCTAAGTATTCCAAGCGAGACTAACAAAGAGACATCTACACCAAAGACATCATAAACTGCAGAATGCTGAAGACAGAGAAGTTCTTAAAAGCAACCAGAAAGAAAGGATAAATTAACTAAAAATATATTGATTATTTGCTGACTTCACAATAGCAATAATGGAAGGCACATAATAGTGGAATAATATCTTTAAGGTGTTTAGAGAAAATAACTGTTAACCTAAGTTTCTATGGCTAGACAAACTATTTGTTCAAGATTGAGGACAAAATAAAGATATTTTGGATACTCCCAAAATGAAAAATCTTACAATCACTAGGCCCTCTCTAAAAAAATAAAATACTCTTAAAGGATGCACATCAGGAAGTCAGAAAATGATCTGAAAGGTAAGAAGAAATGTTGAACAAAGAAAATGATAAACATGTGAATAAGTCTTATTAATGATGGTATAAAATGAGGCCAATATCTACTACATGAGATTAACATAAAACAAGACAGAAGTACTGGACAAGAATCGCATATATCAGCAGTGTACAAAATTGATCACACCAAAATGACTATGTTGGGCTTATTCCAAGAATGGGTATTTGGTTTAACATTGGAAAATCTATAAATGAAATTCATTGCATTAAAAAATTAAGCACAATGCTGTATCATCACCTCATAGATAGAGCATATGCTTCTATTGTGTGGAATACTACACAGCAATGAAAATTGACAGATTATAGCTACACATATATAATGGAGAGTAAAAACATTTTGAAAAGGAGATCTACAGTAAGTTTCAATCATGTTTCACAAATATGCAAAAGTAAACATATTGTTCTTCTGAATATATTATATATATTCCTATATATATATATATATAGAGAGAGAGAGAGAGAGAGTAAAATTCTAAAGGAAAGCAAGAAAAGAGTAAAGAAATAATTGATTATAATAGTAACCTCTCAGAGGGGTAAGAAATCTTCAAAGGTATTGAAAAATGTTTTCTATTTCAAACTTTGTAGTGGATTCACAAGTTTTCATTCTATTATACTTTAAACACTATAAGTTTATTTTTTCATGTACATAAATTATTATTAGAAAATTTTAATTTCAATTAAACTACAAATGCTTCAAAATTTGCTTCTCAAGTATGTAGGTAAGATATCTACACAAAATGCAAATCTTGTGTTTTGAATAAGAAATTAGAAAAAGGGCTGAGAAACATGATTAAATTAGAAAAAGGATTGAGGAACATGAAGGAACAGAAAAAATGAGGCAAAAAGGCAACTATATAAAACATTCCCTAAAACAAAGCCAGACTAAAAGCCATCACCTAAAAAAACCTCATTCTTTACATTAAAATATGGCAAAAAATAGGCAGCAATAACTGAAATGAGGGGGATTAAAGTATCAGAATGGTTCTGGAACTAGTTAGATGGGTTACAGTCTTTTCCCCACCTTCTACTCTTTGTCCTTGTAAGAGCTAGAAAAAAATCTTCACATAAGGCATAAGAAGCACTGCAATAATCATTTACTGTTTGTCTAGTATGTTATGGTTAAATACTGGTTTGCTGGAGATGACAAGATAAATAACAACAGTCTCTGCTGTGAGGGAGCTTTTCTAGTAAGAGAAATAGTTCAAACTCCAGCAGGTTGAGATGAGGTATAACTTATTGAATATAAAGATGATTGGAATTGTAATATTCTGTGTGGCAGAGACATTAACTACCCACTGAGTCTACCCGTGTTCCCCACAGTTCCTAGTCCCCTTACAGCTTGGTGGGATCATGTGACAAGTTATGGTAGGAGCCATGAGTGGAAGAGATGTGTGTCACCTGATGCTGAAGCATTAAAGAGCCAGTGTGTGATCCTCCAGCTTTTCCCCTGACCTAGAGATCTGGAAACTATGTGTCCAAGGATCAAAATCAGAGTGATTACTGAGTCACTGCAGTGAGAACTGATGCCATGGAGAGTTGCCTAACCTGCAGATCACTTTCTGTAAGCAAAAAATAAAGTCTTGTGGAAAGTCACTGAGATTTCAGAATTTGTTACTGTCACATAACCCAGCATTGTGCATGCATACCACTAAAGGGAAAAAAAATCCTTCTGAAGACTTATAAAAACACATATGCCTACATATATGGAATGAATTGGATGCTTACATTAAGAAAGAAAAACTATATGGTCTCTGAAAATTCTCCCTGATATTCACCTCAAAAAATATAATAATAAAAATATACATAAAAACATATTAGCCTTACTTCACAACTTTGCCACTGGTTTGGGATACTTGGTCGAAACTTCTGGTCACAGACAACCTTTCTCATTTCCTCTATAGAGGGATCTGAAGGCACCATGTCATAATAAGGCAATTGGTACTCCTCAACAATTCCTGTAAGAAATTTGCATAATACATTTCCACGTGCAAATAATAAAGATGTCTATTTCAAATATTACCAATTAAGTTTTCTAGGCACAAGTGACACCCCAGGGAACTGGAAAGTCAAGTTTATTAAAATAATGTATCACTTTAAAATCAAGGATATAAATTTAAAGCACCCAGTTGAATAGTTATATAAAGTTATGAAATTTTATTAAAATTTTCATAACTATAAATTTTGAGTATATAAATTATTATAAAACAATTTCCTAATTATATAATATATAACATTTCTATAATTTATATAAAATAAATTTTGTGTTTATTGAAATTATGTAAATTTTTATTCAATTAAAATGCCATTGTACAATTTAAAAGCAATGCCTACTTTGATTATGGAATTTGTAGCACAGCTTCATTGTTTTGTGAATGAAGTGCCTATATTTTCCTATCAGATAACTTTTTTAAAACAAAACAGCTTTTTCTCTTTGAAAACGTTTAGGCAATCTTTTTAACATTGGATTTCTTACATTTAGACATTAGAACAACTGAACCTGAGAATGTTCTGGAGAAGAACCCAAAGGTAGTTGAAGATGGATAGTTCAATATGAATATTAATATTTAAAGAGTCTCAAAGACAATGACAAAGACAACCTTAAGTAAGTATCAGAATACTGGTTAAGTTCCTAGAAATTCCTTATAAAATCTTTTTAATTAACTGCAGTGCTTTTAATTTAAAATAGGTAAGACTTGCCATAATACTAGAAAACTAACTCTAATTCATGTCTGCTAAATTACTATTTTTACAGTTGAAGAAAAGTTAAGGACAAAAATCTAAAAGCAAATCTAGACTAATATCGATATGAAATTTTTACAAAAAATAATTAACATGTTTGACATCTTGCTATTTGCCATGCATTGCCCTAAGGCCTTTACAGGTTTTAACTAATCAGTCCTCAAAACTACTGACTAAAGAAGGTACAATATTATTTCTATTTTATAGATGAGGAAACTGAGGCACAGACTGTTATAAATTTGTTCAGAGACATAGAGCTAAATGGCAAATCTGGAATGCAAACCCTAGTATCCATGTTCAGCACCACTATAATTCTATTGCATTTAAAAACAGTTTTAGATCCCTGAATGTTTTACAATATGAATAAAAAAAAGTTGTATGTTTGCGCATTCAGACATAATTTTAACCTTAGAAGCTTTTCATAAAATCTGTAAAGTTTTTTAAAAAATCAGATTAATGTAATGCAAATAACATCAATACAAAGTGCAAAAAAATGACAATAGTTTAATAATGACAGCTCTCTAATTGAAAGTTTACTGTGAACAAGCTCTGTGCTAAAAGCTTCACATGAATTAATTCATTAAATCCTTAAAGCCCACGAGGTCAGTTTTTGTATTACCTTCATTTTACAGATGAGGAAAGTCAACTAAGTAACTTGCCTGAAGTTGGACATTCAAGCAACTGCTAAACCAATGCTCAGTCCTAAGTCTGTCTCACTTGAATGTAAAAACTAAACCATTTTCTAGCAGCATTTAACTTTTTCTTCATTGAAGCAACAGTTTCATCAGACATATTTACAGGGCTCCCCCTTTCCTAATTATTCTCATTATTAAGTTCTTTTTCCCTTTTTTTTTTTTTTTTTTGGACATGGAGGTTCGCTCTTGTTAGCTAGGCTGGAGTGCAATGGTGTGATCTTAGCTCACCGCAACCTCCGCCTCCTGAGTTCAAGCAATTCTCCTGCACAGTCTCAGCTGGGATTACAGGCATGTGCCACTACACCCGGCTAATTTTGTATTTTTAGTAGAGACAGGGTTTCTCCATGTTGGTCAGGCTGGTTTCAAACTCCCGACCTCAAGTGATCCACCACTTTGGCTTCCCAAAGTGCTGGGATTTCAGGCGTGAGCCACCATGCCAGACCACATAAGTCAGCTCTAAACTGCTGGGAGCAGTAAAGGCAGGAAGTTTGTCTCTGCCCACTTCTTTCCACACCTTTATTCAACCCCACAACATTTCTCATACCACAAGGAAGAAAAGAAAAGCTTAAGAAGCTGAACCCTTCAAGTCCTGTGGCCTCAGCAAATTATCTGACTTCTTTGGGATATAATTAGGAATAACCAGCTAACTGTTTACAAACTCAAATAAAATGATTTTCAAGTGCTTCATAAAGTGTCATACGGAAACAAAAATTATCAGGAGAACTGTCACCCCACTAGGCAGTAATCACGATATAAAATCTCCATTATATGCAAGATGTCCCACATTTGCCTCTGGAAAGATATCACTAAAAGGTATTCTCTTAAATACTAAAAAAAAAAAAAAAAAAAAAAAAAAAGATTCCATATAGTGCTTGGGGAAACAAAATATTACATCTTGTATCTAGAGTATCAAGGAAAGGCGAACACAAAGGATATTTCCAAAATTTTACCTCTGACTGAACACCTTCGGGCTATTTCCCAGTAAACCAGACCAACAGAATAGATGTCAGCTCGTTTGAAGGACTCAAAGATATTCACATTCATTGTATCATCAAGCATTTCAGGAGCCATATACCTTCAAAAACATGCACGTTTCAGATTCTGTGTATGACTTTATAGCAGTTCAGTAAAACAATCTTAAGAAATTAAGATAGTTCATGCCATTTTAAAAGATACATTTGAGGCACTATAATAGAATAAATAAAATTAAGGACATTATTGACTCAACAATCAATTTTAAAAAACTTTTTTTTTTTTTTTTTTTTGAGATGAAGTCTCACTCTGTTGCCAGATTGGAGTGCAGTGGCACGATCTTAGCTCACTGTGACCTCTGCCTCCCAGGTTTAATCGGTTCTCCTGCCTCAGCCTCTCGAGTAGCTGAGACTATAGGCACGCACCAGCATGCCCAGCTAATTTTTGTATTTTAGTAGAGATGAGGTTTCACCATGTTGGCCAGGTTGGTCACCATCTCCTGACCTTGTGATCCACCGCCTCGGCCTCCCAAAGTGCTGGGATTACAGGCGTAAGCCACTGAGCTCGGCCTAAAAAAACATTTTAAATAGAACTAGAGATCATTCCACTCAGTATTAAAGCAGGTGTGCCAGGAGCCTACTGCTTGGAAACTGTGAGTTGTTGGAGGGACACTCAATGAGCAAAACACTCAACATGAGAAATGGCACTCAGTTGCCACCAGTAGTTTGTTGCCATGGAAAGCTCCCTGAGGGCAGAGTGTGTTTTATTCATCTTGGTGGGCCCAAGCCTCCAACTGTGCTCAGCAGCACTCCACCCACACTTTCTCTTAGTGAACAATTTTATTTTACATTGACTCAAAAAAATTATAGCTATGTTGGAACAAGAGTCAGTGTGAGAAATCTATAGTCTATGGACCTGAGCCTTGCTGTAGTAGGGAGATTTTGAAGATTTCCCAGAACAGTGAAGTAAGAATGCAATACCCTCCCAAGTTCTTGCAAGAGTGTTAAATCCTTTGAAGGAATCTAGCATCCAAGGCTTCCCTGAAGGTTCCTGATGTGGGGATGGTCAGATGGGTGAGGTAAGGCTTTTCTTGTACAGGGAAAAGAAGAGAAGTCCCTTAGGGCTGCCCAGTGTGAATAAACTGCCCGGAAGTGTTCCTGGGGCCTCAAAGTCTCCAGCAAATCATGAGAGGCACTCACAGGCACTGTCCTGGAATCTCAAATATGGCTTGAAGGCCAGCTATAGCAGCTTAGAAATTCTCTACTCTCAAGGGCCTCTAACAACTCCAAGAAATTATTTTGGTTGGTTCTGATTTCAAGGTCAAGAACCCTGGAATTTTGCCAAAGTAATGTAGAGCCTGAAATTCAAGTAAAAAGAATTGGAAGTAGGCTGTCCATATGGCCGCAGGCTGGCTACAACAAGAGAAACACTGGAAATCCCATTCCTAATGGGCCTGACCTGACACATGTGTGGTATATGTTGTTAGCTTCATGCTCATTCTTAATCTTCAGAGATTCTGTTCCTTGAAAGTGGGAAATGTATCCAAACTCATATTATCTTAACTCATATCAATTTGGCAGACTTAATGATAAGTAAAAGTATGGTAATACATAAATTGTTACATAATATGTTTAAAGAGTAAGGGAATATAGTAGCACATAAATGAATTCATTATTATATATTCTATGTATCAATTTCAACATACTGATTCTGTATCTATCTATTAGACACAGACTAGATCACTAATTGATTCTACCTATCTATTTCAACATACTGATTGTATGTCTGTTGTATAGAACCTAAATATGTAGAACTAGCCCTAAGTTTCAGTTCATGTATGGGAATATAAAGGCTTTGGAGGAGCTACATACTGCTGACTTTTCTTCTTATCTGCAGCAAAATGCATTCTCAGAAAATGTCATACTAAAAATAATACATCACTATCTCTTCCACCATTTCTCTCCACTGGACTCTGTACTTAAATGGCTGCAATCCGTATGGCCCAAAATGCCAACTCTCCTTCCTTTGCAACCATTGTGCCCACTAACTTCTCAGTGACCCAGAGAAAACTTCTGGATTTCCTGGGCCCAGTGGTTTCCCATTTGGACCTGAGCCGCCTCCACACATGAGGACGTTCATGCTTATTGGGCACTCTCACATCTTACTATACTACCCAAGTCAGTCATCTTACCTCTTGGTTCCCACTTTAGGATTCTGAGGTATGTCAATAGTGTTCAGTATTGAATCATGCTTCACAGCCAACCCTAAGTCCGCTATGGCACAAGTTTCACATTTTTTCACTAAGATATTCTTTGATTTTATGTCTCGATGAGCAATAGCAGGTTTACCTATGAAGCATAAGAAGAACATATATATTTTTTTCTTTACTGAAGACTGAGTCTGTCCAAGAGAAATCATCATGAAGACTTAGCTCAAAGTGTGCTAATTCAAAAAGAGTCTTCTTCAAAACTCTTGTCACTATCGAAATTATCTTGTTTATTTATGTACATACTGAATAATCTGTCTCTCCCAACTAAACTGTAAACTGAATGAGGGCAGTAACTGTTTTGTTCGTCACCATGCCTCTACTGGTTAGAGGACTAGAAGACTAGATCACTAATAAATATTTTTAATAGATGATGAAATAATTAGTACTGCTATGTCCTCAGAAGAACATGGCAAATATTGTTTTACAAAATAAGTCTGAAAACTTCTACTAGCGTACACGAGCAGTTCTCAATTGTGGCCAAAAGATCCCCGAGGTCCTTGCAACTCTTTTCTAACTATGCATCTGTGTGACATCACCTTTTCTTTACATATTTCAACCAAAACAACATATGAAAACAGATGGAATGAAGAACAGGTATGAAAATCCAGACATTAAAACAGACATTAAAGGGATTTGCAACATTGTAAAACAAAGCCACTATTTTCATTAGATCAGTTTGTGTATCGGAAAAAAATGTTGTTAAATTTAAAATACGTCATTTATGTTAACATTTAATTGGTTATTATTTTAAGAAAATTAAGTACTTTTAAACTCCTCAATTTTAATTTCTAATACTGTAAACAGTAATAGATATAAGCTACATACACAAAAACCTTTGTAGTCATCAATAATTTTAGGAGTGTAAAGGGATCATGAGTTCAAATGTGAGAATCACTGCCCTGTCTAGATTAATTGACTCTTAGAGCCAACTTTCTTAACTCAATAAATGGAAAAGGTAGTAGGTACTATTTGGTCTTTAAGTACATGATATACAAATTTTTTTTTCAAAATCACATTACACTTTCCAATTACTTTTTTAATTATCAAAGGGAAACATTTAAATTAGTTGTGATAATAGGACATTTGCCACTAAAGCAAGATCTCCCAGGTACATATGCTAAATGGCAAAGATAGAACCACTAGGAATAAATTATTTTAAATACTGTTAAGGATAAGATACAAAATAGCATACTGATGAGAGTTGGCTATATTATGACAACACCTTTAGCTTTTAAATTACCCTTAGTGTTTCTTCACTTTTTTTTTTTTTTTTTTTTTCAATATAGGGTCTTGCTCTAAACTAGAGTGCAGTGGTACAGTCATAACTCACTGCAGCCTGGACCTTCCAGGCTCAAGTTATCCTCCCACCTCAGCCTCCCAAGTATCTGGGACTAAAAGCACATGCCATCACAACCAGATTTTTTTTTTTAGAGATGGACATCTCACTGTGTTGCTCAGGCTGTTCTCAAATTCCTGGCCTCAAGTGATTCTCCCACCTAAGCCTACCAAAATGCTAGGATGACAGGTATATGCCACTGTGCCCAGCCTCTTTACATTTGATAATTATTTCTAATAAATTACAATATAACTAAGTACTTCTACCCTCATATTCAAATTGTAAAGAAATGTAAAGGAAATACATACCTTGTGTACCAACAATCTCCATATGAAGGTGTGCCAGACCACTAGCAATTGAGAGCGCCAGCTTGATCATTCCAGCCACAGTCACTATGTTTCTATTCAAATAGTCATATAAAGAACCCTGTTCATGATATTCAGATACCAGCCAAAGTTGAGTCCAAGTTCCATTATCTAACAAGAAAATACAATTTTTTGAGAAAGAAGCCAAAAACTTTTAACAAATATTAGTGTTTAAATTAATCTGTGTTGTTAACACAGCAAAGTTAATTGCTTCAGTGGTAATGCTTACAGTCCAAGTTAGTAAAGAAAAAAATTCTCAATGAATATCTGAAGAAACTGATATGTTGGAACCTGTTATATGTGCCCACCATAAAAACAGAAAGTTGTGAGGTTGTGACTGATTGTAACAACGGAACAACTCCTTTCTTATTTCCTCTATATCAATACCTGATGGCAATAGTAACCACATTGTAGGAGAAACTACTGAGAGGTGAATTTAGGCTCAGTGTTGTGTTATAAATTACTCTGAGCTTTTAAGAAAAATTGTACCAATAAACATCAGAAATACAACAAATTTATGCAAAGTATTATTATTTCTATCATAAAAGCTCTAACATTCTAAAAATGTTGATGTTATTCACCCTTCAAAATATAAAGTTGGTTATTTTCCCCAAAAGCTTATAGTAAGAGCCAAACACAATCACTAGACATTTTCAAATAATTTACCTCATTTAGCCAAAACCTAATCCAGCTTATAAAAGACTTTTGGAAATTACCCTAAAACTTTTCTACATATTAGTAGAGTGAGCTTTAGCTTTGGAAATAATATGTCTACAGTAACCCTGGGCAGTCCTGACCAGTACTGACAATCAGGGAAAAGATCTACAATGAACATTTGCTAAGGACCTATCTGGCCAGATGCCGTATGTACAAGAGCTCTTTATTATCCAAATATTTAGTTTCCAAATCTGGGTAGTGATAAAATTTCCTAGGAATTTAAAAGTCAACATAACATGGTAAAGCTCATTAACATATAAAAATAACCCGTTCTCACACCTCTCTCTCTGATCGACACCAGCCGCTATCTTGTCCTTTCATATCAATGCTTTTGTCTGACACTTGACTAAAGAATGAAACTGTAAATGTTGCAAAAGGTAAAGGAATTACAAAATGAAAGTGTTGTTAGGATCATTTGAAATCATGCAAAAAGCCACTGACAAGTTAGAAGATGATAGAGGTAGACAAGTTAAAACTCAAGAAGAGAAAACCCAGGATAATCTCTCTTGTGAATATTATTATTATTATTTTATTTTTACTTTTTGAGACGGTGTGTTACTCTGTCGCCTAACCTGGAGTACAGTGGTGTAATCTCGGCTTACCACAACCTCCACTTCCCAGGTCCAAGCAATTCTCCTGTCTCAGCTTCCTGAGTAGCTGGGATTATAGGCACCCACCACCACGCCCAGCTAATTTTTTGGGGGGTGGGTGGTATTTTTAGTAGAAACAGGTTTTCACCAGGTTGGCCAGTCTGTCTTGAACTCCTGACCTTAGGTGATCCACCCACCTTGGACTCCCAATGTGCTGGGATTACAGGTGTGAGCCACCATGCCTGGCCAATGCATATTCTATTATAATCCAATAAACATCATGTTAAATTAGCCCATGAAGATGATCCATGTACAGTGATAACTGTTTTAACAGCATTGCTGATGAATCCAACCAGTAGGCTGTTCAGCTCCAGATTAGGAGAGAAAAGAAAACATTCTTAATGGCTAAATGAGAACTGTCTCATCCTCAGTGATCTGGATATAGTTTCAAAGTATATGTAGTTACAAATTTGGAAAAAACTTTTTTTGTTAGCCATCTTGCCTTTACCACTTTTTTCCTTAGCAAAATCAGAAATGACAAATCATCAACAAACATAATTATGACCAAAATGTATGCTAAATGCTACACCTCTTTTTCCATGCAGTTAATAATGAATACTTTTATAATTAAGTTTATATTAGATAAAATTAACTATAGGTTCTTAATTTTCACAGGCTTTGGTGGAACCCTGACATCCATAGATAATTTGTATTAACCCTTTTTTAGATTGGGGTTACAATCTCGACTCCACCAAAGTGCTTCATGAGTATTACTAACTGGAGTTCAAGTTTAAAAGTTGACTGAATCAAGTTTTTCTCACTTTTGTTACCCATTAGGGGCACTAATGAACAGTTAAATGAATTTTGTAAAAAGAAGAGAAAAAGCATAGATAATCTACGAACTCTATATCCAATCTGTGTTTATATAAGCATAGGTACAATATTTTATGAGTACTTATTTTAAATATCAGAAAGCTGGTGCTCTGACTTGCTCCATGAAACTCACAAAATAACAAACACTGCTTGGCACTGTTAATGTTGGCCTCAAGATACAAATTGTGCTCAAAGTAACATTAATAAAAAATTTCACTAAAATTGTCTTGCTTACCACCATTCTGATACAATCAAAAGAGATAATCAGAAAATTTAGATGAAGCCTGTTATACGAATGAAAAATATAGCACTAGCAAAGTTGAGAATTCAGCTAGTATTCATTGGTATGTCTGTATTGGTTACTAAAATATGGAAATATTTCCATCCTTGTTGATAAACAGCTGCTATTCAAAACTCCCAGGCCGGGAGCGGTAGCTCAAGCCTGTAATCCCAGCAATTTGGGATGGCGAGGTGAGGAGATCACTTGAGCTCAGGAGTTTAAGACCAGCCTAGCCAACATAGTGAAATCCCGTCTCTACTAAAATTACAAAAATTAGCCAGGCATAGGGGCAGGCGCCTCTAGTTCCAGCTACTTGGGAGGCTGAGACAGGAGAATTGCTTGAACCCAAGAGGCGGAGGTTGCAGTGAGCCGAGATTACACCACTGCACTCCAGCCTGGGCGACACAGGGAGGCTCTGTCTCAACAACAAACAAACAACAACAACAAAAAAAAGCTCCCAAATTCCCAATGATACTCCTTTGCCCTAGAAACCCAGATGCCTCCATCTCTTCATGACCCAGCAGCAACTAAAGGGATAAAACATAGCATGGCAGAGTTCGCTAGGATTCTGTTCCAGTTGAGGCTTCTGTTCTGATTAGTTGGTTCCTGCACCCAACAGTCAGCAAACATTTTAAGCACTGCCCTGGCTATCTGGACATTATGATTTTCTATCACTCATTTGCCCTGCTTCATTGTATGGTTATATACATTTATCAGTGGGAAAGAAGAAAGGATTTTATATAAATTAGACTTTCATATAGACTTTATTAAAAAAAAGAGATGAATTTATTTTTTTCTCATCTGCTAATAGACATTTTTTTACTTGCTGAACCCAATTACATTGGAAATACCTTTGTTGTCGGCAGCAATGAAACCAAGGATGTTTTCATGTCGTAGCATGACCGTCTGGTAAATTTCTGCCTCACGAAACCAAGATCTTTCATCTCTGGAGGAGAATATTTTCACAGCCACATCTTCCCCACACCATCTTCCATGCCACACCTCACCAAATCTACCTTTTCCTACTATTTCCTGAAGTACAATCGTCCTTGCAATTGTCCTTTGAACCAACAGAGGTAGACCTAACCAAAGAAAAGATAGAATTGATGATTAAACACAAATGCCAGAGAAGAACTCTCACAATAATCACTGTTTTTAGATAAAAAAGCAAACATTTAAGTTCTTTAATGATTTTATCTATTTTGAAAAAATAAGTACCATTATAGCAAACCTATTTAATGTCAAAGCATGCTGAAAAAAATACTTCAAATTATGAACATGAATTTGTCTTCTCATATTCACAAGAAAACATTTTTTAAACATATCCTGCTGCTGCAGATATCCGATTTCCAAGAATTGCTGCAAATCTCCTTCATTTGTCCATCAAAGTCAGTCAGGTTACTAAATACACAAGAGTAAAAGCAAAAAAAAAAAAAAAAAAGTTTTAGCCTCTAAAATAAAATGTATGGCTCCTGGTACAACTGGCAGAGCAAAATAATTCTTTGGGAATTTTTTCAAAACCAAGCTAAAATTGGAAAGTGAAGAATCAAATGCAGTGGTCAAGTGAGATAATGATATTGCACTAAAAGCAAGATATAGTCAAAGAAGATAATCAAACGAAAATTTCCTGTGGAACAAAAAAAATTTTCAAAGAAAATATATCCGGAGTGTATATATAATGCTTATATTCTTTGAACTCCTAACTCTACCTCTAGAATTCTGTCACAAATACTTAATGCGAAATGTAGAAAAATTTATGTCAAGATGTTTAATACCTTATTATTAGTAACAGGAAAAAATAAGGAAACGTGTCAGGTATTGTGAAATAAAGTGCAGAGATTAAGAGCACAGATAAGAAAGACATGGGTTCAAATTTCAGCTCTGCCACCTGGTTGGTAATCATGGGCAAGTTATTTCACCTGTCTGAGCTTCAGCTTCTTCATCTGAAAAACTGGGAACAATAAATATTATCCATCTCATAGAGATGATATGAGAATTAATAAGCAAGTTAAGATCTAGCACAGTAGCATATTACATGCACATATTACATATTACATGGCTTACTTAGGGCCAATAATGATGATGCTTATGAAATGTATTTAATAACATTAAAAAAAACTTTTGCTATACTATTGAACGAAAACAGCACAGTACATTTTATTCTTATAAATAAGTGTACCTAGCTATTCAAAATATGCACAGAAAATAAGACTCAAAAGGAAATATGCTAAATGTTATAATGGTCATTTTGTGAAACTGGGTGAGTTATGATAGTCTTCTTTCTAATTTTCTACATTTTCTTAATTTTGTAATAGATATTTATTACTCTTCAAATCAAAGGAAAAATAGTTAAAGAGGTTACAGTCTACATTTATTCTGAAAAGCCACACTTAGTTATTGTTTTTGTACTCGGACAGCTAGGGAACCCTCGTAGCAATGAACCTGCAGCTTGTGGGAACTTTGGTCCACACACCTAAAATGAGTCAATGTTCATTCATATGTTCCCATATGAATATATAAGCACAGGCTAAATAAGGGCAGACTATAAATCTGCTGTTATGGATCTCAACAATTAGTCACAAAACCCTACAGGCAGAAAGGGAGGGGGGAGGGGGAGGGGGGAGGAGGGAAAGGAGGAAAGGAGAGAGGGAAGGCAGTCTTCTAGACAATAACTTAATTTAATTTGGATTCCAGTTTTTAAAACTTTGCAGTTTGGGGGTTTTCTTACTACTATTCTTCCTTTGAAAGATGCTACCTAATGTGTACAGTGAGGGTGTAAACATTTAGACTTCTTTAGTGGGAGGGAGCAGGTGATTTTGTCCCAGAAGGAGCAAACTATCTGGGTTCGATTATGCTTTGCTTTTCTGATGAATCCAAAGCTGCTTCATGCTAACTGTGGATGCACATAAGGATGTTATCACCCCTCTGTTGCCTACATCTGTTAATTGTGCCTGCCTGGATTTTCCTGAAAGACATTGGCAACGGAGTTCTTCAAAATGTTGGGCTATAATCTTAATGATTCTTCCAAAACAAGAAGAGATGCACGGGCTTCTGAAGTGGCTCACCTATGGTCACTCTTGTTCATATTTCTGTAAACCACAAGCTGGTAGGATTTGTGGATACATATATGAAAGTAGGGAATCCCCTACCATTTTAGGAAGTTTGTTATTCTAGGGAAAACTGCCCCACCACCACCACCACCACCCACTCACCCCACCTCCTGCCAGAAAAAAAAAAAAAAGCCTTCAAATACATTGTGTTGTGAGAAAGGCTCATTTAGGCTATAATACTATAATACAGCCTGGTACTCTGAATGCTTTACAAGGGGTTCTGGAGTTCCATTAAAGAGGAAGAGAGTTATTAATATCATGTCACCGTAACCAGCAAGAGCTAGCACAGCAATGCTGAGCTGCTCTCTTTAATCTTCTGTTTCTTAGCTTTAAGAACAGATGAGTTCCCTGTTAACTTCACATACATCCCAGGGGGTGTCTACAGATTCTGAAAATCTTCATAACCATAGGCAAAAGTGAGCAAAGAACACACTTTGTATAATCAACATCTTTCCCTCAGAACTCAACACCTTAAATACTACAACCCTAACTTTTTTGTGAACATAAAACATTACCAAGAAAGCAATAGTGATTTTTAGTAATCATAATGGGGGGAGGTAGGGAGGAGAGAAGGGACTGCTTTCTTACTTCAGAAATAAATTCTGAAGGAAAGTGAACATAAGAATCTGAACACCTAAAGCTACAAAAAGCAACTGAGAAGACTTAATGCTATAGGCCACAGTGGTTTTTCTCTTCATCAAATACTAAAAGGAGTTCCTATACCAGAGCTCACCATGTATCCTTTCAAGATGAAATTCATAATATCTGGGCCATTTTTGTTAAAACGTTTTTATTTACTTTTAAATAAAGAGTTTTCTTATGAAAAAATGGACAACGGTCACCTACCAGAGCCAGATCCAGAGGCAGTCACATCATAAATCAGATCTTTTAGGGTTTTTCCAGCATTTACCAGATTGCACTCAGAAAATGGTTCCTCCACATTCGGTCTCTTTTTCTTCCTGTAGGAGCACTGTCGACCCTGGCATGCCCATATTGTCAGCATCACAGCTATGGACAGGAGGCAAACAGGCACAGTAATAATGACGGCCAGCTCCATGGGTCCAAGTTTTGGGGCATTTGGTGATGCTACAGTTTAAAGAAGAAAAAACATGATCATAAATCAACACATTTTAAGTATTTTTAGAATTGAAATTGGAATCACCAAAATTTTACATCCAGAATATGCAGCTACACAGTATACACTTATATTCATTGGTAAAGGCTCTCTGTGGTATAAGCAAAGATGGAGAAAGGAAAATGAGATTAGGCTGCAGCTAGGAATCGTTATGGCAGGTGACAATTAGCAATATGATAAGGATAATGGAAACTAGCACATGGGATCTGTTTTTAGGATCTCTGAAGCATTTGACTCTTTTCTGTCTACTATTTTCCCTCCATTATTCAGCAGGACATTTCATTATTATTATTATTGTTATTATTATTATTTTGAGATGGAGTCTCACTTTATCACCCAGGGCTGGAGTGCAATGGGGTGATCTGGGCTCACTGCAACTACCACCTCCCAGGTTTAGGCAATTCTCCTGCCTCAGCCTCCTGAGTAGCTGGGACTACAGGTGCCTGCCACCATGCCCGGCTAATTTTTGTATTTTTATATAGACAGGGTTTCACCATGTTGGCCAGGGTGGTCTCACACTCCTGCCCTCAGATGACCCACCCACCTCAGCCTCCCAAAGTGCTGGGATTACAGGTGTAAGCCACCATTCCTAGCCATAGCAGTCCACTTTTAATGCATGTTCATTCATTCTTTCGTGCCAAAATAATTATTGAGCTCTTGCAGTGTGTTGCCGCTATTCCAGGTGCTGGAGATACAATGGTGAGGAAAGAGCCCAAATCCCTGTTCTTGAGTCATATATGTTCTCATACATCTACGACACAGATGTTTAACACAAAAGCAAAAAGAATAGCACTATGAAAAAAATGAAGCAGGGAAGAGAGGGAGTGATGGTGGGATGAAAAGGATTAAGAAAAGGACTGTGAATTTTATTCTAAGAAGTTGCTTCAGGGTTTCGGTAGGACAGAAATACGATCTAACTTTTATTCTGAGTGGCCACTGTGTGAATAGACATTGGAGAAGCAAGAATAAAAGTGAACAAGCCAATTAGAAACCTAATGCAAGAAGCCAGTTGGGAGACCAGGATGTTGAGTGACAACCTTACCTAAAATAGCACTTCTTTCCCATTCCCTGTTCACTCTCTAGACCCTTGTCCTGCTTGATTTTAATTCCTAGCTCTAATCACCACCTGACACATCATATACTCATTTATTTATTACTCAATTACCTCCAGAGGACATGAGCTTCGGGAGAGGAAGAAGTTTGCCTGCGTTGTTCCCAGCCATATGTCCAGTGTTTACAATGATGCCTGACACATAGTAGATGATCAGCAAATTGTTCTTAAATGACAGAATTACTAAAAGTTCTACTAGTGGTATTCCTATAAGAGACAAGACTTTTCATTTTAGAAAAAATAAATGTGATCATTGAAACCAAGTAACATAAGGATATAATTAAATTTGTGATTCTAATTTTAAAAACACATGAAGCCAATTTTTTTGCTTAAACTTCATCTTGCATTTAAGAAATCTTTTTTTAATTTAGAAAAAAAAGTGATACATGAAAAATCTATGATGACAGATAATTTCCTGTGTTTTTGAAAGAAGTTATTTTGACACTTGAAACTGACACATTGTTCATTTCCTTTTCATTGACTAAAGATAGCCTCTGCATCAATCCATTTCATCCCCTTGTCCTACTACTGCAGTGTTTTGTTTTTAATAAATCTTAGAACGTATTTGATAGAATATGGGAGCAGAATTGAGGAGACTTAGGTTCTCAAACATCAAGGAGAAAGAGAGAAATCCAGGTTTGACAGAGAGAGACCCAGCTCCACCTCTGGGCTACCATCTTCTTGCTGTGAACCTTTGGCAAACTGCCTCCCCAGCTGATTCTCCATCAGCCAGAAAAACGATGGGAGACCATGCTTGGAAAGCTATAGCCTGACACCTGCACCTTAGCATCTCAACAAATGGCAATGATAATGGCCTTGATAGTTTCGCCATTCGCCAGATGTCCTCCTTTGCACTGACAATGCTAGAGAGCTTAATACCTTAGATGTTCTTGCACTTTACCTACAATGTGTCAAAAAATACATGACTATCATTTGAAAATAAATATTATTTAATTCTGAAAGAAAAAAGAATCAAATTCCTCACAAATGTGTTCATAGAGATTTCTCCATAATGCCAAAGATAGTAGTCTATCTACTATCAGTAAGTAAAAGATTTAAAATTGTTAAGTGAACTTCAGAAATGAACATAATCCATGCTGTTCTACTACTTTGCATAGTGAATTTTCACTGATTACCAACTTTTCTTCCCCTGAGTGTTTCAGAATTCCTCTGAAATTATTAGTAGTTGTACAAGTGCATATAAGGAGAAGTTGGCCTAGAATAAGTGTTCTTAGAATAGGTACTAAAAGAATTCTCTGACTTGGATTTGCTTTAGTAATCATCAGCCATGGTACTTCCAATCTCTAAAGTTTGCTGTTATGAAATGATTTTATTGTGTATTTCACAATGATCTTTCAACCTGTCCCTATATTTTTATGTCTACACAAAAGTATTCCAATTTTTTTTAAAAAGCCACAGAATGCATTTAATCTCCTGCATCTTACATAAACATCTATTTAAATGTGTTTTTAAATATACAATTCCACTGTTGAATACATTTACATGACTAAAGTTTATTTTGATATGTGTTATTAGGAAACATCTACATAAATAATGGCATTAACAAGCTTATTGATCATCTTCATTTTTGTAAAGCTCTATTAAGCAGAGCTCAGATCATCACTATAGCAACTAATGAAGAAGCAAAAGGTCAGCAACACTGAAAAGAGAATAATCTCCATGAAAGTGCACTGCTCTAGTGATGGCTGTAACTCTCAGAGATGTTTATTACAGATGAGCAATATTTCTACTTTTGTGAACAAATTTACCAATATGAGTTAGTAAGGAAAAAAGATTACTCAGCTACAAAAAGTCTAGCAACACCATTCAGTAAGAACTCCTTAAACACTGAGGAATTTTAAAAGCAAACATTTGTAAAACTATGCTTTAAACCAAATGTTGATGATAATCACTAGAGGGGATAAATGAAGAAAAACCGTAGTCTACATCCAGCAAATCATGGTACAAGAAGACAATCATGCAGCTAAGAATACATTTCAATAATAGTTAACTTTGATGAACATATTAATTTTTCTAGCAGGTTTTACATTCTTGATCACAGGAAAACTCATTATTTGATAGGTCACAATTTAGGGGATCTTCTGTGCCAAGTGAGATGCATACTCCATGGAATTAGCAGCTCCATGGGGAGACCTGTTAAATCCCAAAAGTGAGGTGGGAGGAGTGCCGCATTGTTAATTCAAGTGATTTCCCTCCTTAGAAAATTAGATCGAAGAGGATGAGGAAAATGAGAGAAAAGTACTAACCCAGAAAGGTGAGGGCCTAGCTGACAAATTTTACCCCAAATGAGCCCTACAATATGTTAAACTGAGAAAATGCCAGGGAAGGAAGTATTAACAAGATAGCAAGAAGAGAAGGGGGAAGGGAGAGAAGGAGAAGAAAGGAAGCAAAAAGAAAGGAAGGAAGAAAGAGGAAAGGAAAGAAAGGAGGGAGGGAAACAAGGAGGCAGGGAGGTAAGGAAGAAAAGGAGGGAGGGAAGGAGGAGAAAGGGAGAGGGAGGGAGGGAGGAAGGGAGGCAGGGAGGAAGGAAGGCAGGCAGGCAGGCAAGGAAGGAAATTTTAATTTATCTTTGTGAGTTTTGCAACTCTCCCTGGAGATCTGCGTGGAACTGGTGATTGTGAAAGTCACTGGTGATTGCCACTGCCCAAGTGAAGATTTAGTTTACATGCATCAGCTTCTCCCAAAACAGTTTACTATTCCCACTGCCTCCTCACTACTTCCTATTTCTTACTTAATAAGGAGAACCTCAAGATGAAAAGAAGAAGATAGGACAATGTAGGCATGATCCCCACATTTTCTTCCCTGCTCCTTATTTATTAAAAGTATGAAAAAGTATTGATGTTCATGAGATTTACATGACCTTCAAATTAATTAATTTACATTTCCTTACCATATACTATAAGAAGGAGATGGCTGTGTGAACCTGAAGAAGTCAGTTTCTCAAGATGAATCTTGAATTGCAAACTGGGCCTAAATTTAAAATAGAGCCAAGTGGCCATTTGCTAACTAGAGACTACACATATACTGTGAGTTCCCAGAAAAGCCATACATCTGCTTAACTTTGGAACTTTCATAACTAACTGTTCTTGCCCATGTTACCTGAATCAACCAACAGGCTGTGGCCTGCATCAACCAATCAGAACTCAACTGCATCAACCAAACAGAACTAAGCAAGTTTTCAAGTTCTCACAAGAGGACCTGACTGAAAACCTAAATGGGAACTTCCTCTATAAAAGCCAAACAAACCCGGCCTTTGTTCTCTGGAATGTACCTTCAGTTTAAGCTGAGGACTATTTCTTCCCAGTTTGCAAACTGTTTACTAGAATAAAATCTCTTTCCTCTATATTCCGTCTCAGAACTTTTGTTCACACTTAGAAGTGGACGTATGTACTTGATCAATTGCCTCAAATAATTCATACTGACTACTGGCATTGAAATCTTCTACTATGATATCTACATTTCAATTTACAGACAGAGTTCCCCACTATATTTAAATGGCAATCAGCTGACTATGAACAAAGGCATTACAATGGAGTGATATATTAGAAACCCTCTGAGAATAGAGGGAGTGAACAGATATGTCCTGCTGGAAAATTATTTAGAAACAAATTCAGGGGTGAAATAAAACAGAGACCTTCATCCAATCAAAGTGCATTCTTGTAAAACTTTTCAAGGTTAGTGCTTCCATCCCAAAAGTCACTGTAGTTTTGCATTAAACCCACTCTGCATCCTATTATTAATAGTTTTTGCCAAGTAAAAAGATATCATTTTGCAAGGTTTAATTCATGAAGATATAACTATTAATATCAAGTCTTCAAC